CCGTATAATGGCAACATAATTTTGGAAGGTATGGGAACGTGGCTGTAATTGGGGTCACATACATGCATCATAAAGGTTTGAAAACCTATTGCCACTGAGTCATACAGACTGGAGTTCTGAAGCATAATTGTTGGGGGAAGGGTGGACACAAGGTTCTCCTGAGTGCAATGTGACTACGAGCCTACCCTCTTCCCCCGAACACAATGCATGGGCCGGAAAAATAGCATGTATCTGGTCGACACCTGCTCCGCTCTTGATCTGGACCTCTCACCATACTTGGTCCACACCTGGTCCACACCCAGTCCACACTTGGTCTGGACCTGGTCCACACTTGGTCTGGACCTGGTCCACATTTGGTCCCGACTCAGCCCATTGGTCTGCGCCTGGTCAGCACCTGGTCCATGCCCGGTCCACACCAGGTCCACACCAGGTCCAGACCAAGTGTGGACGGCAATTGTAGAGGCATTGCCGTTCCATCCCTGGTCTGGACCTGGTCCACATTTGGTCCCGACTCAGCCCACACTTGGTCTGCACCTGGTCTGCACCTGGTCCATGGCCGGTCCACACCAGGTCCACACCTGGCTCACACTTGGACTGCACTTGGTCCACACTTAGTCTGCGCCTGGTCTGCACCTGATCTGCACCTGGTCGTCACCTGGGTCCGTGCAGGGTCTGTGCCGGGTATGCACCTGGTCTGCATTGGGACAATGTCTGCACCCATCCGACATTCAGAGAGGACCACATGCCTTTTCTTGGTTTTTTCCCCCCTTCTTTTCACATGACATCAGATGAGAGAAACGAGCTTTCTTCGGAAGGGCTCTTGCCTGTTCTTGTTTTTGCTCCCTCTTGACATGGCATCAGAGGCGGATGGCACTTTCCGCAAAAGGGTAAGGACGCGGGAGCACAATCACAGAGAAGCCTCAGATATACAGTAAGGCCTCCTTCACAAACCTGTACCTGGTCCGAATCGCGGCAAAGTGCATGATAGTCGGACCGGGTTCATGGCAGTTGACCATTCTAGAAGAGTAATAGAGAGCAACCAGTTCTGCACTTCTAGTTAAGGTTACTAAAGGACTTCAAGCGTCTTCTTTCTAACTCAAAAAAAAAAAAAAAAAAAAAAAAAAAAAAAAAAAGGCCCCTTCGGAACCATCAGGCTGCTAACATGCACCTGCCACATTTTTCGCCCAGGTTCATCCATTGTCTGGTATGGTTGGTGACACTGTGGATTCCATGCTGCTGCTTTTTTTTTCTTCCAAAGGTGACACACGTTCGATCCTTACCATTTTTCACCTGGTCAGCATATTTGCCAGGTTCATGCTATCTCGACTTCCCCAGTGTCCAAAGAAGGTGTCTGTCTCCTTCTGTCCTCAAAACAGGGGACACACATTGGTAGCCATCTGACGATCGTGCAAAAAAATGTTTGCACGAACCTGGCCTTCATTTCCTTACCAGGTTCATGCTCACTCCTGGACCAGGTTCATGATGATCTATGAATACAACATGAAGATGTTGAACGTTTGCTCGATAGGTGCGTCCTCCTCTTACGTGCTCACAGAACTTTCATACGAAGGTATCATGTACTTTATGTTGATGAAAGCATCTTCCCCGCCTCGGGTCTCAAACAACTCCAGTGCCTTCTGCACGAGCTCGCCCGTGCACGTGTTTTTCTGTTGCGCGTAGTCGATTCCATCGCCCAGATTCGGAATGTGTCCCTTGAAAATGTTAAGTACTGGAAGAATTTGACGATAATATGGGACCAGCGCTTCTCCGATCAATTCTTCAGACTCCACAAGCTTGCATAACAGCTGCACAAAAAGGAGAATAGGTGGGGAACATGACAACACACACACACACAATCATATTATATATAAGTTATAACCGTATTATAACAGTATTATAACTTCTTTTGTTCCTCTTCTTTCTAAGCCTTTTTTTTTTTTGGGTCTTGAGTGTCTTGACCACTTTGTAGATGTTCCGGCATATTCCGGCGTTTTCCCAAGTGCCTAACCAGCACCTTTCAAATTTGCCAAACACTGGCAAACACTCAGTATGCAGTCGTTATAAGTGCAAGAACATTACGAGGGGGTGTTTGGGAGATGCAAGTGTCTCTATGTTGCCTACTGGTCAGTGGTGTAAACGTACATTCAGTCATCAGAGTTCTACTTGTGGTGTGAGTAGGCGATGGACGATCTGCTCTGGTCCATGCTGTATGTGTGGACTGCCTCGCCGGTACTGTCCTGCCTGCCTGGCTACCTATCCGCTAGCTTTATGTTGCTGTGGCACTTGCCCTTCCTCCCTTGTGATTCATGCCTTTTTTGCCCATCTGCCCACCCTCTGCTTTCTCACTTGGTTGCGTTGCTCCCTGCCTGGCTGCCAGGCCGCCTGCTGGCTGGGCCGTGTGCCTGGCTGCGGCGTGGCTTGCTGCTTCGTAGTTTGCCTCCGTGGCCTCCTGGCCACTGACCCGTCTGCCCGTCCGCCCAGGCACCCAGCCACCTGCCCCCCCCCACCCTCTGCTTTCTCACTTGGCTGCCTTGCTCCCTGCCTGGCTGCCTGCCCACCTGCTTGCTGGGTCATGAGCCTGGCTACTACTTGGCTTGCTGGTTTTTAGTTCGCCTACATGCCCTTCTGTCAACTGACCCTCCCGCCCGTCTGGCCGCGCGCTCACCCGCCCGCCCCCACCCACCCTCCACTTCCTTGGTAAGTTGCCTTGCTCCCTGCCTGGCTGCCCGCTCACCTGCTTCGTGGGGTCGTGTGGCTGGTTGCCATTTGGCTTGCTGCTTTGTAGTTTGCCTCCATGCCCTGCTGCCCACCAACCTGCCCACCGCCCACCCAGGCGCCCACCCACCCGCCCACCCGCCCACCCGCCCACTCGCCCACCCTTCCTTCGTCCTATGCGGGCCTCTGAATGCATTTGAATTCAAACGAAGGCCCATGCATGACGGAAAGGCCGGCGCATTAATGGGCACGCACCTTGCTCGCGTACTGGTGGTTTCATGCTGTCCCCACTTGCCTTGCTGCTTTTAGTGTCAACTACAAGGAGACGACTGTCCACTTGCAACAGTTTCTGATGTAGACTATGACTCAATGCATGAATATGATTTAGCCTGCCTAGAGTTCAGCCTCCTGATGAGTTGGTGAGATTCCAACGAAACAGCCTGCCACTCCGGTTTCTTTTTTCTTACTACTTTGTTTTGCCTATGACGGGAAACAGATCTGTCACAAAATTTGAATCGAGGCCGTGGGCCTCTCAATTCTACCCGCTGTAGCACTGGGGCCATTACCCAGCTTCGGCTTACGCTGGAAACCCGTCCACAGTTCCATTGAAGGTCCCAACCAGCCTTTCCCTCGAAAAACTTCTCTCCATGATTTCAAAACACAGATTGTCACAAATATTTCACAAATATAATCCTTAAGTTTCCATCTTAAAGACACACAAAGTCACACACATCCCCCTCCACCTGCCCTCTACCGCTGCACCACCTCCCTTTCCTAAGCAATAATACTCTGCAGACCGAGAAATACTACCACTCAGCCCCATCTGTCACTCATCCGCCAGTCTAAACCCCCCAAGAATCAACAACCCAGATTGAGCCCAACATGTCTCCCCACTTCTGACCAGAAAGGGGAGCCACCCCTCATCTATCAGAGCATCCGGTGAAGACCGATCTGTCCACTTTTGTTTGCGCTGTGGCTTCGTCCTGTGTCCTGCTCAGTGTCCAACTGCAGCACCCTCAAGCTGTGCCAAATAGTCAATGGGCGTTTGTTACCACTGCCTGAAACCAAGGGCTGCTGTGTTCGGATGACTGTGTGTCTCCATGTTTTTTTTTTGGGGGGGGTGACACCGTGACAGCGTGACAGCCAATTCAGAGTAACTCAGTAACCGCTATTTTACGCAATTGATTCCTTTTAGATTTGAACTCAGGTATGTTTATCAACAGTTCATGGGTGTACCACGCAGCCGCTTCAGGTTTCCATACGTCCATCAAAGTGACTCCCTGACTGTTGGCGGTGGTGTGAGCCTCCAGTTTGTAGAGTGCTCCTTGTGGTGCAAGTGATAGCCCTCTCTGATCCACACTGTATATGTGGAATCTCCTGTCAGTGCTTCCCTGCCCACTTACCCTGCATTGCCTTGCTGTCCTGCTTCTTCGCATTGTCTGGCATGCTCTCCATCTCCCTGCTTGCTCGTCTTGTGGGTACTTGTTAGTTGTCTTGCTGCCTGTCTTGTTTGCCCGCTCACCTGCTTGGTGACTCTGTGCCTGGCTGTTACTTGGCTTGTTGTTTTCTAGTTTTCCTGCTCCGCAGCCACCCAACCTTTGCTTTAACTACTGCCTGTTTTGCCTTGCCGCTGCCGTCTTCCCCCCAACAAAATGCACCCTCATTATGACTGCATGGTACCGAAAAAGTAGTTTGTAATACTTTGTATACATTCATAATCAGGCTGATTTCTTGGTATTCACGGGAAGACGTACTGCTGTCACCTGCCTGGCTTTGTCTACTTGCAGGACGCTCGAAGTAGACTACGACTCGCAAAGCGACTGTCGACAATGCCGAGGTTCAATATTCTGCTGGGTCCGTGGGCGTCCTGCAAACCATCCGTCACGATCCTTGTCCTTCTCTTCCGACCTCGTCTTTAAGCAAGGGAACCATTTCTGTCTTGTTTGAACACTTTTTACGACGCTCTGTTAGTCTGGTGGATTTGCGATGATGCTGTTTCAGACCTTCGTTTAATGTGCACCGATTGCAAATATGTTTGCATGCTCAACTGAGTCGACTGTGTAACATACTCAACTGCGTAACATCACGGATATGTTGCTCGACGTCTGCAGTCGTGTTGCAGCATGCGGCAGCCTGCTGTTGCATGGGTCCTAGGGACCATCTCACGCAAATGTGTACATGTCATGCATCAACTTCACACGCAGTGATCAATAGTATCAACCATAGACAAAGGTAGAGAAGAAGAGGACCGAGTTTCACAACTTATATTATCAGAAATATGAATA